TTAACATTACTTCAGCTAATATTAGTAATAATGATAATATCAAGAATAATATTATTGAAAAAATAATAGCCCATGAAAAGTCTGAATAGTCAAATCGCTGATCAAATTAGCTTGTTAGTCAACTGCAGGCAGGTGCAACGTTTCTTTTTATATATATATATATATATATATATATAGATAAGATATCATAAGAACTTTTTTTTCATTAATAACAAATTAGCTTGATAATACTACTCTACGCTGTAAATAAAAAACATAAAATCGATTCCTACCTTTTTACAATTATGACTATGACGTTAATTGAAACTGGTCTGGAGAGTCTCCTTTATATTGATTATTTATAGAATTCATATAACTGTGCCTATATATATATATATAGTCGTAAAAGTTTGAGGCCCGTATTAACCACAGGACACACACTGGTCAGTAGGTGTGTAATGGGCAAACCATAACCCCCCGGCTTGCAATACTCGCACACAAGAATAAGATGATTCATTATTAGTTGTACTGCCCCGTTTAAGCCGTCTAAAGTCTGTACAACCATACTGTACAACTTGCCCTCGCTTCCTTAAAGCCAGTCCTGTCCTTTGAATAAACTACAGTGCTGCAGCCACAATTATTATGTAAATGTGAATTTCGGATATTTTTGACGTTATAAAAACTAAACTAAACTAAAAGTAGATCCATGATTTATTAAGTGGCATTTCTAATTCACAACGAAACCATTCAAAGCTCTATCTGAGTAGTAGAAAGGAAGATATCGACGTTTACTATCTTGAAACTTGAATCTAGACAGTTTTCTTTCTTGTTTCTATACAGCAGAAATCCACAAGTCATTTTCAAAGAGAAACCACAAACCAGACAGAGGTTTAAAGGAAACCGTTGTGAAATTATGTGAGCAATCCCACTAATTAAAATAATTCTGCAACATAATAATTATTATTTATGAATAATTGGTCTCATTCTAAAAACGTCATTATTTTTATTCAACGACGGAATTTACGCGAAATTTCAGTAAGTCAGATATAATGGTATATTCGATCTAACCGTACATCTTTTGTCCTCTCTGCGCAAAGTCTGATCTGTATAAATTTTCATTACAAAAGAAAGTCGTGGCGAAAGCGCGAATAAAATGGCTGCTTGCAAAATGATTTTTTAAACAGTGATATGTGAAAATTATGATTGAGCTAATATAAAAAAGTTCAAGACTACATAAAGATGGCCGCCCTTAATCAGAGAAGAAGAAGATTCCTGAAGATTTAAAGATGTTCACCAATAATTAAAGCCTTTAATTATTGGATTTAAAGCAGAAGAATATTCCAGAAGATTTGAAGATGGCCACCAATAAATAAAGAAGAAGAAGGTTCAGGAAAGTTAAAAGATGGCGGCAAATGCGAAAACCCCTGAAACCATACCCTGGATACCTCCAGGGCAATCCCAGGTAGTGATAGTTGATGGTTGATGGTTTATAGCTGGTGGTTGATAGCTGGTGGTTGATGGTCTTAATGGTCGATTCTTTATGATTGATGGGGGAAGGTTAATGTGTTGATGGATTTATGGTTAATGGATTTATGGTTAATAGTTGATGATAAAATGTTTAATATTTTCCGTTTAGGAGGAGTCATCAAATAAATTTGCGCACAAGAAGGGGAGTATAGCCAAACAGATAAACGAAGAAGTGAAGAAAAAGCGCTCCCGAGCACGTAAAGCGGAGCGCAGTAACAAAAGTTCTATTACGTCTAGTACGACGCAGTCACAAATTCTAAGGAATACATTTCATTTGTGATTTCTTCCTACTTTAAGACACTTTTTTCTACCTTAAGTCATAATTCTTACAACCTTCAGACACTTTTTCCTACTTTTAGAAACTTTTTCTTACTTTTAGACACTTTTTCCTACTTTAAGACACCTGTTTTTCTCCCTTCAGACACAATTCTCCCAACCTTCAGACACTTTTTCCTACTTTTAGACATTTTTCCTACCTATAGACACTTCTTCCTACTTTTAGACACTTCTTCCTACCCATACTTCTTTATACCTTCATACACTTCTTTCTATATTTTAGATACTTCTTCCTACTTTTAGACACTTCTTCCTACCTATACTTCTTTATGCTTTATACACTTCTTTCTATATTTTAGATACTTCTTCCTACTTTCAGACACTTCTTCCTTCTTTCAGCTTCTTCTTCCTACTTACAGACACTTCTCAAATAGGACAAATTGCCATCCCCCTCTCCAATCAGTAAACACTTTGCGACCCCCTCCCCCCTCTCAAATAAAGGCACATTTCACCCCCCTGGCCCCCCTCCCCCCTCCCGGTCCTGCTATTTCTTTGACATTTTAACGATATTGCGTGCTGGCATCTTTACATTGGGTTTATAAAACAGTATTTTCACTTCGAAATAACGCCTTCACATTCTCTTATCATTACCTAGTTTATAAAATAAAAAAGATTAAATTTTGGAAAAACAAAAAAATGAAATTTAAACAAAAAGTTTGTCCGACTCTGGACGAGGAAGCGAACTCAGCTCAGCGGATAAAAAAGGATTGAAAGGGAAATTATCATAATTTAAATATAAAGTAACCCCAATTTAACAAGCTTAGGTTTACTTATCTATCCAAGTGTATTCCCACCCAACCATTGTATTAATTCTAAAATTTGAAAATTTTAACTATTGAAAATATTCTTTTGTAGCTTTTTCTCTGACATACTTTTTTGTTGCAGATGCGTTTAAAATGAAAAAAGAATGACATTAGATTGCGTAATTGGAAAGCAATTTAAATCCTCAACATCGCTTTCGGAAATAAAACCCTTAGACATAAAAAAATGCTCGATTTTTGATTTGGATTCCCGTGAGTTCGGTTTTCAGTCGGTTAGAATCCATAGCATCACAAATATTCTTTTCTGAGATTGAGACTAAAGTAATATTTTTAGAGAGAAGGCATTAAGAAATTTCTCGAATTTTCTAATACTCATATTTTTGCAACCTAATGGTGAAAACTTATAAAGTTTAAAACTTATTTTATTTAATCGATTTGATCAATTTTATAGTTTTAAATATCTAAGGTCTAAAGTTAGAAAATAGGAGTTTGTGGCAAAGTCTCAATGCCTATCCAATTTTAGATCTAATAAATAAAATTCTGATTCAAGCCAGAAACTGTGTATTATTAATTCAATGAAGTTTAAAACTGAAATGGTAAATATAACTCTGAAAAGTTTAATGCTTGCAAAAAAAACGTCAGAATAAAATATTAAACTAAATCCAAGTTTACTCTTTAATTCAACTTTAACATTTAAAATAATTATTCTAAAATATCAGTTTGTTGAAAGTATAATCTATTTAATTTAAAGAGAACTTTGTTTTTATAAAGGAACTGATCAAGTAACCGGTTTTATAAAGGAACTGATCAAGTAACCAGTTTACTAAAGGAACTGATCAAGTAATCAGTTTACTAAAGGAACTGATCAAGTAACCAGTTTGCTAAAGGAACTGATCAAGTAACCAGTTTGCTAAAGGAACTGATCAAGTAACCAGTTTACTAAAGGAACTGACCAAGTAACCAGTTTTATAAAGGAACTGATCAAGTAACCAGTTTACTAAACCCTATTCCTTTAAATCAGATGGTGTAAAAATATCAGATTGCAGAAACAAGGATTAGAGAATTTGAGTGTTTAGTTACTAAAGATTTGAATGTAAAAAATATCAGAGAAATCTATACAATTTTGCAATTTTACATTAATGCATGAACCTATTAAGACCGGCTCTACTTTGAAGAGTCATCAGGCTTAGTTTACCCTTACCATACCAACTAACCTTTTTTGTTGTCTTGAAGATGGTAAAGTAAAAACAAACTTTTGCTCGTGTTATGTGCTACCGACGTCATTATCCCTCCCATTCTATCTGATTCATTCGTAGGTCCACAGCAATTATGATTATAGACACATTAACAAAAATTCCAATATTGTCAAAGACGACCTTTCTATATTCAAGCAGTAAATAAACGTGGCGAAAGTCTCCATAAATTCTTTTTTTGTTTGTTGTTGGTATTTGTATTTCTGACAATAACAACCATTTATTGGAAAAAAAGAGAAAAAGGCTAATCATCATTATATTTGATAGAATATGAGTTTTCAAAACAGTTCACTAACTCCACTAATACTACTTTTACTTCTGAAAATTAATCCTAATTTTATATTTTTATTTTTACTTTTTGACTTTTTTCCAAAAATTTTCAAACTTTTTTCTTCTTTTTTCTTTTTTCTTTTGCCAATACATTTTTTATAATCTATTCATTTAACATCACAGTTTCGAATAGACCTTTTGTTTTCAGGGATTAAGTTATGAAAGTTATATATGTTTTTATTTAAAACCTTTCTTAGGATAATCTTAGGTCTACATTTTCACATGTTGGCTGAAAAATCATTTTAAGAACAGATATTTAAATATTTGAATAATAAAATTGAATAACGAATTGTTATGTTTATATTCGAGTAAATTTTTACTTTAAAACTTCGAAAATATTATTTAAACAAACTTCTTGTTGTTATATTCCAGACCTATTAAAGGACAAAGTAAAACAATAAACTAAAGTTTTATAATAAACTAGGTAAACAAGGGGAAACATTAAGAATAAGATTGTTTTCAGTCTTAAAACACAAGGTTACTCAACAAAGTGAGACTTAAAAGATTCCGCGGAAAAATATGTTTTTTTATCCGAAGAAATTCTGATAATTCGCCGCAAGTACTTTTAAGTGTCAAACTTTATATTTTTCAATACAACAGATGAGAATCAGAGGCCGAATTTAAAGAATTTGAGCCGCAGTTTAATTTTGAGAGATATACCCCCCCCCTTTCCCGCATTTTCCCCCCTCCAAAAGACCGATGAAGCCACCTGACTTCATCACTATAGTTCTCTGATTTTTAGCATGGCGCAGACCGGATTTGGGATCTAGTTTTTGAAAACCAAACAGGGAAAAAATGCCCCCCCCCCATTTTCCCCGCATTTTTTCAAAAACATTTCCCTACATAGTAAATACTACAGTGATTATTTATCTCACCTATGCATAAAAGAGTCCAGAGTTAGGTTTCTCGACCCAATGTTGATAACTTTAGACACCCAACATGGACCTATCACTAAAGTTTTTGGAAAGATGCCCGAAATAAGTGGAAAAAATGAGGTGGACATTGTGGTTTTTCAATATAATGACTTGCACCAGCTTCTGCATTTCAAAAACAATTGAAATTTCATTTACTGTCCTTTAACAGTCACATTCTTTCAGAGAAACCCTTTATATACCAAACTCTGGTTTAGACAACAGACAAAATGAAATATAAGCCTAGAGTTTAATACATTTAGCATTAGATTAATAGATACAATACATTACTATCTTACAACCACAAAGAAATGGAAAAATTTAAAAGAATTGTGGAAAAATGGATAAAAATACAGACACATATTGCATTTTTAAATATACTACAAATACTACAAATATATATCTAGCAGCTTATCAATTTCATAGGGTTGCCATATTATACAGAAAAAATAGGAGCAAAAAACTTGCTTAGGATAAAAACGGAAAATTTAGGACAAATGATTAAGAAAGTTCGCGCATTTACACGAAAAAACGAGATTAAATGAATTAAGTATCTGATCGAAAATATCAGTCCATACATTGGGTTGTGTCTATGACAAAGCATATTTTATATCTATATATGTTTTTCTTGTCTGTTTGGGTTTAATTGTTTGGTTATATCCAAGCAAGACGAATATGCGAACATTTTTTTTACGTTATTTGCAGAAAAAACGATGGCTTGAAAAACAACGTTGAAAAGCTGACATTGTTAATTTAACACGGGCGCGAAGCAACCTAAAGTTGTAGTAGACTAAATACATAGAGTTTGGCTAAAGAGTATGAAATGTTTAAGGCCTAAAAGGTAAATGCAGTGCAGTGCAAATAATCAATACTTGTAAACCATACAACCTTCAACAAACTTTATGCTTATATACCAGGGTTAGTAGTTTCATATACCAGGGTTAGTAGTTTCATATACCGGGGTTAGTAGTTTCATATAACAGGAATAGTAGTTTTATATACCAGGGTTAGTGGTTTCAAATACCAGGGTTAGTAGTTTCATATACCAGGGTTATTAGTTTCATATTCCAGGGTTAGTAGTTTTATATACTACTTCTCTCAATTTCCGACAATGTTTCTGTAACATGAAATCCGTAAGTCACTTTAGAAAGGAACCACAATGAAAAAAACAAAAAGTATGATAATATTTGCAAAAAGATAAAATTGTTGAGATATTTGAAGAAGATGAAAATGATTACGAATATGACAGTGAAGGAGGAATTAGGTAATTTTTTAAATATTTTCTATATTTTCAAATTTTTTCAAAATTTTTTCAGGTTCAAAATTTTCAGGTGATATGGTTGGAAGCAAAATTATTTTTAAAAGATTAAATTATGCCCCAGAAAAAAAAACGGTTGAAAATTGAGAAATTCGCGGAATATCAGGAAAATAATATTTTTCTTCAAATATTTCCTGCGTTTTTAGTTTCTGTCGTCTTCACTTTGAGTTTAAAATAGTGGCTGAACTTTTTGCCCAGAATTGATTTTTACAGTGAGGACCAAAAACTGTGGAATAGATAGACGACATTAAAGCAATACTTAAGTGTTGATAGTTGACTAGTATAGCTGATTAAATCACGTATTAAGTTAAATGGGTCTGGTTACACTGCACCATTGATGGTTTTATGTTCTTTGGAGCATTAAAAGTCACAACTTGAGTCTAAAAGTCGTCTTCCTATTCAGAAGTTATTTTTTGGTTTTCATTGGATTTTTAAATTAGAAATGGCAGGATTTCTCTTCTGATACTTTTACTTCTGAAGCGAGAATTATTTTGATTTTCTTAAGTTAAAAGAGTTTTTTTTATGATTAATCAAAACGTTAGATTTTCTGCATTTTTTTTTCTACTTAAACAGATCGTTCTAATTGGTATAGAATCAAAGTCTTTTTCTGAACTGATTATTCTGACCCAAATTATTTAGATATATTTAACTTTGTTATTTTTTGTTTTGTTTCAGAAGGAAATATCCTGACAGTACATTTGACAGCGGAAGAGGGAGTTTAGGTAAAAATTTACTTTGAAAAATGAAATGATGTATTTTAAGCAGGGTTATCCAGAAATAATGAGAATTTACAGACGGCTTTTCTTTTATGTATGGTTCCTTGAAACTCTTTAATTTTTTTTGCTTTGACAAGCATTAAATTTACCTAAACCCTAAACAGGCTGACGCCCCCCCCCTGTAGTGTTTTTTGCCCTAGCACTATCATTTTTGACACTATAACCGTGAAATTTTTTTTTTGACTTTTAATGAAAAATGATTAAAAGGATTTTTTGTTAATTTTTTTTTTAATTTATAGGGCAGGGTACAGGGCAGAACAAAAGACTGGTCTGTGAAAGAAAAAATCTAAAATAGCCCATTACTTTTTTGTGACTAAAGCTACAGATCTAAAAACTATATTTTTAAAAAGCCCTTGAAAAATGCATCTAGAAACATGTGTCACACTTTGATATTTGATTAAAACAAAAAGAATATTTTTTTTCTCACATTTTTTACCCTTTTTTAGGCTTTTTTTCAACCCTCCCTAGCACTCAAACTATTAAAGTTATCGGTCTAATTTATTTTTCTATGAGCTGGCCTAGAAAAATTGGGCTATGAACATGCATTTCAACCCTATACCTATTCTCTAAGGCCATTTTCTAGGGGGGAGGCGCCAAACGCCTATAAGGCTATACATAGATTCAAACCCCCCAGCCTTTATAGGGTTAATTCGTATCTAACGAGTTTAAAGTCGTTAGTAAAGTCTTATCCCCATGCTAACCTTGTACCTTACATTTAAAGTTACGTTTCTTATGTATCATTTTTACAGTTTTAATTATATATTTTTGACGTCGAAAACATCCGGGTCCTTTTTTATGGAAATTATGGAAAACTTTCAAAAATTCGTGAAATACAAATCGTTAAAATGAAAAAAATATAATTAGGTTTTCCCTGTAAATTAGGAACGTGAGGTTTTAAAATAAATATCTTAGTTATTTATTTTTCATTCAAATTTTTTGTTATTTGAGGGGGGGGGGTAGGTTCCTTATCAAAGCAGTTAACAAATAATTTGTGCGTTTCAAATATTAAAATTCTGGATTAATCAGTGCATCTTGCTTGTTTTATCATTAGAATTTTTAAGCAAAGAATTCGAGAAAAAAATTAAATAAAAAAGATGCGTATTTGAACGTAAAAATTAAAAAATGCTTTTTTATACTTTTCCGATGATTTTTTGAACCTCCATGCACCTCAACTATTCACGGTTTCTGATTAAATTATGCCTTGAAAAGTTAGACTAGTGATATTTATCACAACCCCTATCTCAACCCACAGGGCAACACATAGGCTAAGGGCAAGAGAAAAACGTCATTCTCCTCAACCCACAGACTACACAGTGAGAAACATAAAAATAGGGAATATTAATAAAGGCAATATTTAAATGGATTTGATAAGGAAAACTTTTGTTATTTGTAAAATTAAGCTTTGCTGAGGAAGTCTAGAAATACATTTTTAGAATAAGAACAATGGAGAATTTATAG